ATTCAACCAAGTGTCGGAGCTTTACTACCGAGTCTCATTTCATCACCTTCTTCAACAAGCATTGCTGACTTAGGTCTTATATTTTACTCAGAAACCACACAGTTCTGTGTTTTACCCAGACCCCCACAGGTCTTATAACCTACCCAGAGCCCCTACAGGTGTGATACCCTACAGGTGGTGGGGTAATCTAGTGATTAAAGCGTTTGCTCATCATGTCGAGGAACTGGGTTTGATTCCCCACGTGGGTACAATGTGTGAAGTCTATTTCTGGTGTCCCCTGCTGTGATGTTGCTAGAATATTGCTAAAAGCAGTGTAAAACTAAGTCACTCACTCACTCACTCTTATACCCTACCCAGGACCCCTACAGGTCTATGTTTTACCCAGAACCCCTAAGGTCTTTTACCCTACCCAGAACCCCCACAGGTCTGATGTTCTACTCAGAACCCCCATAGCATTAATATGATGCTTATGTCTTATTAGATTTTGAGAGGTAATAAAAAAAATTTAAATTGTTACCTTTAGCTATGAAATGTTTAATTTTCAGAAATATTTATGTGATTATTTAATGTTAATGAATTTTACCAGTATAACAGTTATTAGTTGTGACATTCTTTTCAGTAAGTACTAAAACAGCTGTTGAAAGTACCAAAATTGCTTCATAAACATCGGAACCATTAGGGGTGGTGGAGTAGCCTAGTGGGTAATGTGTTCACTCGTCATGCTGAAGACCAGGGTTCGATTTCCCACGTGGGTACAATGTTCCCCACAATCAAATACCTTATTTCTTAAAAAAATTATATCATAACTAAAATGTGCAAAATGTCCCATCTGATGTCATCCGTCTTATTTTTATCATGAGATCATTATCCGAACTGAATTTTTCAATAGCCATTTTCATTCCTTGCCTGTACAATCCACAATATTATTCATGTTATATCAAACATATGGAACAGTACTAAAATATGTTTGTCATCCTTCACCACAGTTTGCCATTAATATCTGCAAAATTGAATAGCTGAGTTCATCACTGAGAAAATTAAAGCAAGGAAGTATTCATGTGCTGTGACTAGTCACCACAATTTACACGTTTCACTCTCCTTGCATTTCTTTCTCATAATGGAGTGAGTGTTGTACATCTGTCACAGGCCAGCATAATGGGATCATTTGTCACACCTCCCCTCTCTTGCAAGTTTTTCACCCAATTCTTTTTGTAAAGTCGACAAGTTTGATAATTTCTGGTTAGAGAAATATCACGAATGGGTGATTGAGTTAGTTTTATGCACTTTTAGCAATATTCCAGCGATATCATGGCAGAAGACACCAGAAATGTGCTTCACATACTGTACCCATGTGGAGAATCGAACCTGGGTCTTCAGCATGATGAGTAGATGCTTTTACCACTAGGCTACCCCACCGCCCCCGAGAAACATCACGAACAGTGAAAAACGTTTCCATTTTGAAGTTCTTGAAAGGCATTTAGTACAATGAGTAACATGTACTTATGCCGTTTGTTAGACATAGCCAACGATGGTATAATCAACCTAAGGCTCTCTAGGTACACTTGCTATCTACTAAACAGATATGTTGTGTAAGAGGATCTAATTTGAAAACCAACTGAGCACTACCTCATTGTGAGGCACAATACTGTTATCAATATTTAAGAAATTAGTCATGAAGATAAAACTCTTCTTTCTGCTAAATTATTTTGCAACTGAACATGCAACTACTTTCCATATAGCCTCAATAAACGCAGTTAAGGTATATTTGTGGATTAGTCAACATGTATGGAGGAGTTTGTTCGGCCTGTGTTTATGCCAGCTGGTTGTTCGTTTGTGACAGCTGTATAGAAGAGTTTTTAAACACACGATATCAAATTACTCCGCATATTATTGTTTGAAATGTCGATGGATAAGTTTGATTTGGGCTTACTGCATGAATGTAAGCAATCTGATATAGTGACCTGCTTCTGTACATGTAGACTAAGGCTTAGTCTCTGAAAGTATATAATACTGATGGCAACCAATCTCTCTATTTGAAATGAGAAGGATCCTTGAGATGGGAGATTCAGAACCAATCCAGACCTGCAGTAAGGGCTGGGCTGAAGGGGAAAATGACATGGTTCAGGGACTTTGCAGAGGTACAGATAAGCTGCGTATCTGCGTAAATCACGCAAATATTTATGCGAAAAAATTGTGTACAAGTACGTTTCAATTTTTGTAAATACTCAATAAATTTGATCTTACATGTGTGCATACAAAAGTGTCAAATTTTAGCTTGCGTACCGGCGAATTAGTTCCTGTCACCAAACCTACTAGAATTTGGAGTAAGCAGACCCATGTGCTACAGATGAAGGTTACTGAGGGTAGATAAAATAACTGAGGTACATTGAGAAGTTCTATTTCAGCACATGAACTTGGCAATTTGCAGTCTTTCTTATCGTTTCTCATATTACAGATATGAATATGAATAACAAACGCTTAAACCAACATTTAAACTTCATTATATTTTACAATTAATGGAAAATGACAAAATACCCAATTGAGTTTGAGTAAGGTGGGTACAATTTATTTGGTTATTCAAGGGAAAATTAGGATACCCAATTGAGATGAACACAAGCGAGTACATAACTCAATGGCCCAAAAGGTTATCTGTAGCTCTGGACTTTGGGATAAAGTACATATGCCTCTGCTTTATTTGAAGAGATGGTAGGGACGGTGGGGTAGCCTAGTGGTTAAAGCGTTTGCTCGTCGCGCTGAAGACCCAGGTTCGATTCCCCACATGGGTACAATGTGTGAAGCCCATTTCTGGTGTCCCCTAAACTCACTCACTCACTCAAGAGATGGTAAACAACCAACCCACAGAATTATTGCATATTTTTCATTCTTGAAGCATCCACACTTCATGTACAGGAATAATGCCAAAGGTGTGTGTTATGTTTGTTTACTATTATTTTATACTGCACCCAGCTAAAATCCTGTAAATAAGCGATTCTGCACCAGGCAATCCAGTGATTGACATCATGAATTCAAACTAAGCAATCAGCCAATCCATGTCGGACAACCTCATACCTCTGACAACAAATATTGGACCAGAGTAGTACACGTTAACACTAAATAGCAGGGAATGAGTGAGAGAGTACACTTTTACGCCCCTTTTAGCAATATTCCAGCAATATCACAGTGGGGGACACCAGAAATGGGCCTCACATTGTAGTATTTGTAGCCATGTGGGGATTGAACTCGGGTCTTCAGCATGACGAGTAAACGCTTTAACCACAAGGCTACCCCACCGCTAGCAGGGATGTAATGGAGCACTCTCTTCAGCAATGTACAACTGACACACATGTTATTACTTATGTGTGTTTGTGGTCAAATAAACCTGAGTGACACCAGGAAATAAATATCACCTTGACAGGTTTGACCTTTACCCTTTAAGGGTGATTCATATACTACCCATCAAAAGTTTACACTCGCTGAAAGCACTCACTATATGTTATGTATATGATATCGTTACATCGAGGGGCGGTGGGGTAGCCTAATGGTTAAAGCGTTGGCTCGTCACGCCGAAGACCTCGGTTCGAATCCCCACATGGGCACAATGTGTGAAGCCCATTTCTGGTGTCCCCCGCCGTGATGTTGCTGGAATATTGCTAAAAGCGGCGTAAAACCAAACTCAGTCAGTCGTTACATCGAAAATGGATTTCTCAACTATCTTGGGGGAACCAACTGCAAACGTTATGCAGATGAATTGCACAAGGATCATGCATCAAATTGCTGAAAAGCATCTTCAAATATCGTGCATGTGAACAGCTGCATTTTGCTGTACAGTTTCACTGATTTTACAGACTGAACTCATGACAATAATCTTTTCAATGTTACGAATTTGTTTTACAATACATCAGTTCATGTGTAAACAATACCTTTAAACAATATGGAATATTTTGCAAAATCTAGTTTAGAACAGTTGACTGGAATAAGGGGCTACTAGTGAGTCTAAACTTTTGATGGGTAGTATATAATAACGCTCCTCCATAATTAATCAGACCACTGTACTGAAACCATGGTCAGCTTGGACACCACAGGGATACTATGTATGTGTTCAGCAACATCACTCACAGGCAGAGTAGGTGGATGAGTGACCTTGACTATTGAGTGTTTCTTGGGGCTTATATCATGACCCAAATTGAGGCACATTTAGTGTCCTCCAGGTCAAGTGACATTGTTTCAAATGTGCTTTTGTTCACCCAGCAGTCAGTGGGTTCCGGGTAGGTTGATGATGTGACTCTTTACCTTCTATTGCCTCACAGCTCACAGGTGACTTGAGGGACGTAGGGGTAGCCTAGTGGTTAAAGCGTTCACTTGTCATGCTGAAGACCCTGGGTTGATTCCCCCCATGGGCACAATGTGTGAAGCCCATTTCTGGTGTCCCTGCTGTGATATTGATGGAATATTGCTAAAACCGACATAAAACTCACTCACTCACTCACTCGAGAATTACGTTTAATTTCAAATCAAATTTGAGGGTGGATTTATTTCTGGCTGCATATGACCACCATGATTAAGTAATGACAGAGAGACAAGAGACTGTACCAAACAGCTTCAAGTCTACCAGTGTGAACACACCACTTGACATCATTTATTTGATGTGTTAATACCTCTAGTAATATTAGCAAAGGTCCATAGACCAAGTGACAGTTTACTAGACTCAGTCTTCGGTCGAGTAGCACTTTACAGACTGAACCAATGTTTCACACTGGACTGAAGGTTACATGTTGCTTAGATGTCTCAGGCAATTCATTGTGCAGAGTTGTGCTCCAGATGGCATTTTGTTCTATAATGGTTTATAACTGAAATACTGCGATGATTGCCACTCACTCACTCACTCACTCACTCACACACTCGTGCACTCACTCACTCACTCTACAAACTGATCAGTGTATTTGCCCATCCATGTATGACATTGTTGGAGACATAATATCAGGAATTTCATAATGTTTCAGGAAACAATGCATGCAGATGCAGTGACGACACGTGGAACTGAGCGATGTGAGTCACAGCTTTCAACAACCTCAGCCGGCATGGATATCTGTCGAATATGCCACTGTGAAGCCGAGCCCAACAACCCGCTTATCTCCCCTTGCCTCTGTTCAGGCAGCCTCAAATTTGTCCACTCGTCATGTTTACAAAAGTGGATCAAAAGCTCAGAGAAAAATGTCTGTGAACTTTGTAAGTTCCAGTACATCATGACAACGAAGACCAAACCATTCAAAGAGGTGAGAGTTTTCATGTGACAATTCTGGCTTGGTTTCAGTAGCAGTATCTGAGGTTGTTGCATCCAGCATCTAGTTCCCCATAACTGCCAATTACAAAGAGAGTGGTCATTTGCAACTTATGTACACTTTCCCAGCACGATACAGATTCTATTACTTTTTGGGGTTGATTCCCATCTTGGATTTGAACCACAACTCTCAGAATGAGGCACCTACTGGCAAACAAGGATACGTTGAGCACCAACCTGACAATTGACCCGTATTAGCATGTATGAGTGCCGCCCACTGGCGCTTGCCATTGTTAGCGCAAGGGGCCCCAGGTTGTCCACAATCGAAGCAAGGCGCAAGGCTTGTGCAGCAACGAGCAAATTTCATCGTCATACAATGCACGTGCACTAGCCTACATCTGCTCTACCTTTCACAACCAAATAGGTGTGCTCATTGCCGTGCTCCGCCTACTTCTCATAAACGCGTTCTCTGCGCCGGTCCAACTTATCCTTGTTTGCCAGTAATCACCAACTCACAAAGTTAGTGATCTAACCCTCTCAGACACTGCAGGGTCCACAAAAATGAAAGTCTAACAACTGGTAGTCTAGCTCACATGTTTTGTGTACCTCTGTTGTTGTTATAAAGGACAATGGAAATGTTGTTTATCATGTTTATAGAAGCAGAGTGTTTTATGCTTTGTGAAAAAAATGGTCCCAGGGATTTGACTGGGTTTTCACTATTTTCTAGCCATTTTCAGTCACAAATGTTAGGAGTCTTATGGCATAGACCAAGGGGTACCAGGATGGCAATGCATGGTATGATGCTTGATGCCCCAAAAAATTATATGCATATAGTCGGAATCGTTTAGCCTTAAAGAAATGGGGATTTCAATTTTACAGGGAAGAAAATTCCCCACTGACACCCTGGAAGTCAGTTGTATGTGATCTACAGTTTTGATGAATTCAAATATTCAAATAACGATTTCATCGTTTGACACTTTTACGTCTAACTCTGTTTGAAAATTCAAAACCCTGATATACTTGTCATAATTAATTGTTACTCGCACATGATGCCAGGTCTTATGTTGTTTTGTGTTTTCTTGTAAAATTGTCATTTTGAAAGAGAGCCCAACATTTCATTGGCTGACAAACTGATAACTTAGTGTGAAGATGGAAAAGAAGTGGAAAAGGTCTCTCGTAAAGTAGATCTTCTGTCTCCCTAACTGATGAATAATACAAGTTAAGGCAATAATAATAAGGCATTATAATGGATATTATTTTATGTACCAAAAAATTGGCCTGCAATTTAATGAAGATGGTAACAAATAAATAGATGAAAAAATACAACTTCCAGATTGGTTGTACTCCAACTGAATGAAAAACATACTAAGATTGTTGCTTGTAGTGATAATGCCAGAATATAAATTTGATGCATATTATCCCAATAGCTTACGAACAATGCAGAACAAATCTTAATAATAATAATAATAATAATAATAATGTATTTATAAAGCGCCTAATATCCACCATAGAGGCTCAGTGGCGCTGTGACAATATAGGTGAAAGAAATAGTTCATATAACTTTACAGAAAGGCAGCAGTGAATAGATAGGTCTTTAGCAGAGATTTAAAAGTTTCTTTCGATGAAGTGTTCCTGATTTCCTTTGCGTATCATCCGCATATATGTGGAAACCAATGAAATGCCGCCTGATAATGTCACCAATGGGGAGAATGTAGACTGTAAACAGAAGGGGGCCAAGAACTGATCCCTGGGGAACACCATATAACAATGGTGACTTTGATGATTGAACATTTCCAATTTTGACAGATTGTGTGCAGCCTCGTAAATATGAAGAGATCCACTTCAGCGCATTTCCTGTTACCCCAATGTGATTTTTAAGTCTTGTTTGGTTTTTCATATTGGCTGTTTATAATACAAAGATGGCAAAAGTATTTTTTAGTGGAAAGGCCTCTTTTTGTATTCTTGTTTGTTTTTTGGTTTTTTTGTTAATGGGTCTTAAAAAAAACCCCAAAAGTATGCCAGACCTAATGAAGGAATAATTCTTTTATTCTCGACATGAATTGTGCCAGTTACTGAGGTAATCAGACCTGAAATCGAAACCATTTATTTCCGAACCATGAACATAAGAAAGCTTGTATACATTTATCGTTGATGAATTACAGATTACCAAATGTAATGGTCGATTTCCAACACTGGCAGTTAAAATAAATTGACATGCTTTAAAGTGACAGCTACCTTTCTCAACCAGTTCATGAAATTCAAACTGTATTTTTTAAAATACATTGTAGAAATAGTTTTCAGACGGTTATGTTCTGGGATTGTGATTGAGTTCAAATTTAATGTTTTATCAGCATATTTCAGTCGTATAACCTCAAGAGCAAGTCTACGTATAAACACAAGTCCATTGTAAATACAACATTATATTAAAAAGTAATTTCCTTACACACACATTCTAACATAACAATATTATTAACAATTTAAATTCAAAATTTATCACAGCAAATTTAGGAACAAGCAGACAGTTATACACAAATAAGGTGGTACTGAGTAAGTCTCGGGTTCCAAAAGGACAAACCGGACCTGTACTTAGTCACCTGATATATTTTTAGATGACAAGAACAAAGACTTTCTTGTTTACACTACAGGGACGCTATCCTATAACTGTTCATAGGACTTCGCCATTTGTAAGCCTATGATAAAGTATGGAGTTACGATAGGTTGTAACACTATAACACTTTCTGGCACAGGGCCCCGTTTCATAAAACTCTCGTAAGTCTAAGATCTCGTAACTTTTCTCGTAGCATTCGTACCTCCTATACAGTAACCGAGGAGGTACGAATGCTACGAGGAAAGTTATGAGATCATAGGCTTATGAGAGTTTTGTGAAACGGGGCCCAGGACAATAGTTGTTAATGTTCAAATTTCTGTCTGACAATGAATACATTCCTTCTAATTTCATCTTTGAGTAAATATGAAGCTTCATTTAACTTCTGTGAATAAATGATGGGATCATGTATCAAAAGTTTTTGCCAGGGCTTGATCCAACATTTCCACCCAACTTAAGACCTTCAAACCCGCCTAGTTGCCTGTTGTATGTGTCAAGTGGGTAGGAAATCTAGGTTTGGGAATAATATTGCCAACCTTGCTGGAAACTCATTGTGATATATATCACTGTTGTTTATTTGCCATCATCCTTATAAACAAAACTTTTGCATCATATTGACACCTTACTGCCTATGATTGTGACTTTGGTTGTGCGTAACTACTGAGTAAAATAACAAAGTATTATTGATTTATTAGGGAATCAAGCTATCTTGGAAATGTGAATATATTTCTATATTTGTAAGCCAAACATTACACAGTGTTGAGATATAACACTGTTAAAAAGTGGGTGTGGCTTGGGTCCCCTTGTCCTACATGAAGTACTGTTTGGATCTAAGGGGGTCTAAAGTCTATGTGGTGTAAGACCTGGGCAAGGGCCCCTTGGATTTTGAACACTGTGTCAGTTGCATTTGTAACAGCTTGAGGAAGAAGGATCTGATCAGCCAACCGTTTCCATGACAACACACCAGCGCTATTACTGTTTACTATTTGTTATTCATACTACCATGGTGTAAGTGCACCTCCCTGTCTATATATACAATATGTATTATGTATAGAGCATAAGGAATATAACACTGAAACTCAACTTATCACTTTCAATACACGTGTTTGGAAACAAGGAGAGTCATGGTAGTTTTATTATCAGTTGCTTTTATTATTATCTCAATTTTTAAGGTACACAGAAATTGTTATGAGTGATTCAGAGTAGTTTTGTGCCACTTTTAGTAATATTTCAGAAATATTTCAGAGGCGGACACCAGAAATTGGCTTCACACATTGTACCCATGTGGGGAATCAAACCTGGGAATTCAGACTGATGAGTGAATGCTTTAACTAATAGGCTACCCTACAGCCCCCAATGTGATGAATAAAGCTAAAACTTCATGATAAGGTAGCAATACACTATATTGCAGTGATGGTGAAACTATTGTTATGATATCATGGTATTGTTCTTAAATGAACCAAAAGCTCAAGTGACCCACTAACAGTTACTGATCTTTTTGAATATATTACATCATCCGTATAAGAGCCCACAACACGGGCCTTAGAGGTACTATATCACAGCATACTTCTCTGAAAATAAATGATGCATTTCTCTCAATAATACTACAGCCCTCATGGAAGCTAAAGTATCAATTATCAATTTCAGGCAAGTCATAAGGGATGATAAGTCTTTTATTGCATCAGTAGGAAGCTAAAATGAGTGCGTATGCCCCAATATATATATTATATAACATACACTTTGTTATTCTTAGTGTGGAATGTGGGATGGTAACATGTTTTTTGTGCATAGTGTGCACTTAAGTATATTTCTTCGTTTTTGCCAGTGTTGTGGCCCTTAAAAAAGTACATTTTGAATTTATAGAATTATTTCCCCCACAATCAAACATCTTCGCGTCATTAGAAATAGCATATCCATAAATCTGTACCAAATGTGCACAAGATAATCCTGTTGTAATAATTAACTTGTCTAATTATGTGAAGATGGTAAGTGTTCATTGTAATTATGTCTGGGCTTGGGACTTTTTTTTGTACTCTATTTGATCAAATATAGTCATATCATACATCGATATTGGTGAAGTAATGTTCGAAACGACATGTTTGTATTCACTTTGTTCCTTCTAATAAAGCCCATGCAAGTCGGGAATATGTGTCAAGCCTAAATGAAGAAGGTCTCTGGGTTCCTTTCCATGATATTTTATGATTATAATTTACAGACCATTTTCTGTGTAAAATATGTTCATTTCAGTCAGTGAGTGAGTGAGTGATTGAGTATGGTTTTACGCCGTTTTTAGCAATATTCCAGCAATATCACAACAGGGGACCCAAGGAATGGGCTTCACACATTGTACCCATGTGGGGAATCGAACCTGGGTCTTCAGCGATATGAGC